GGATGTTAGTAAATTGTCGTTGTTTGCTTTAATTGCTGAATCTGTAGGAATAAAATGAATCATATAGTGTTACAAAAAGTTACATCTGTCAACCTCACTGTAAAAATGTATAAAGTTGGTTTTATACATATTTTTAATTTTATTTAGACATAAATTTGCAAAGTATCTCTGAGTTTAAAAAATCATATACATATGTACAATGTATATTTATATAAACTAGAGAAATGCAGACAAATATAAGATCGTTAAATGTTAAAAAACAGCAGTTATAACTATTATAAATAATGCCTTATTTGTAAAAAACACTAAATGATTGTGGCGCTCCTATATAAACAATTTGATTGTGATAAGCCAAAATTTGATAACCAACCATAACACCAACATAAAAACGAGAATAGTATACTTTTTGCATANTGTCAATAATAAATAATCTACTCTAAGCTAATAAATAATCTATTTTTTTTAGTTGGTCTAAGTACACATATTTTATCGTCTTCTAATTGTGGTTCTTCCGTCATTTTCAGTTTTCCGTTAATTTCCGTTAAACAGTANTATTCAGTGTTGTTTCTGTTATATTAGTCGTTTGTCTATTTTGCGATAATACGAGAACGTGATGGCTATGTGCAAATTGTAATTGGTATTTGACATTCTGAACAGCCTCTGTATAATAAAGTCGTCATCAGTCTGATTTTGAACAATATATATTTTTTTAACTTTTTNAAATGTAAAACATAAAGAATAATATTATCTTGTTAGAATACCTTTTCCTACGTCAATATACGAAATATGTGTAATATTAGTATAGGTTATACTAATATTTTTTTATTTTTTTGGTTTTTTGGTTTTTTCTTTTGTTTTTTTTGAGAGCTTGTGTTTGTTGGAGCAATACCCAGGACGACAAAAGTTCGTCAGGGCCGTAAAGTTAGAGCTGTTTGTATTACAATCCTATTATTCATGTCAAATGTGAATAATTATTTCTCTAAGTATTTTAAGTAAATTTTTTAAATAAATTAAATGATTTGATACATATCGTAACCTTTCTATTGACACGTGACTATTTTTTATATACTTGCAAATGAAAATTATTTTAACATTTATTTTATTTTCTTATTTTATT